TCGAGTTCATGGCGATAACAGCTATAGATCAAATCCTGTTACAAAAATAATTAATAATGATAGAAGGGAAAGTATTTGCCAACAGAAATGTTTGGCAAGGCCACATACTAAAGTTAATCGATAAGTTTGCAATCGATAATTAGGCATAGCTTTAAAAATAGCTAAAACACGTTTCGTGCCATAGACGAGAGAACATTTGACTAGAGTAGACTTAGAAATAGCAAAGTCTCATATGAAATACATTATGATCGATATATGCGCTATCGATAACAAGTAAAAATCAAGATCAAATATAGCGAGAAATGTTTGAATCATAAATAATATTATAAAAGACTTATATCAGATAGCTAACTTATATAAAATAACTAAACAGCTATCGATTAATCGATTACACATTGTGCCAGTTAATGCAGTTGCAGCTGAACTCAAACCCCAGTAAAACCCCAAATCAATCATAGTACGCCCAGGGGCCTAGTTCAATCAAAGTAATCAAAGAACTTTCGCTGCTGCTATTTGCTTGCTGCAAATATGCGAAATCACACATACGCCGCGTTGCACACCGTCGATAAATTAGGTGTCAAAGTTGTAGCAAACAGTTTCGGCGTTTAATTGACGCTGCAGCGCGAACTAAACAAACCTTGGGCAACAACAACAGCTGTGACACCTGTAACTCCCTGGCACCATCTCCTCCTCCCCGCCCACTCAGCTGGCCCCCTGCAACAGGCAGAAAAGTAAAATCAACAGCAGCAAAAGAAATCAGCGGAAATGTCACTTTCTTTTCAATCAAAACGCAATTCATGCCACTCGAAATGCATCAACGGCGAAAATGCTACAAAAGGTCGTGCCACTTCATGAGGCGCAGCACTCGAGAGAGAGAAAGAGAGAGAGAGAGCGCGAGAGAAATATATAAAACGAAAAGGTAGAAACACGATTTCCAACTGTGCAGAGGCTGTGGGTGTTTTGCTACACTCTGAACTCTAACCCGTGTGCCAATAAAAATTAAACTACAGCAAAAAGCAAAAACAACAACAACAACAAACCAAGCGACGCTTTAATTTGCATTTCGTGGAAAATTCTTTAGCGAAAAGATAAAAAAACAAAAGAAACACAACAGCAGAAAATATAAGCGAAGCTCCGCAAACCCCACCTGTTGCCAGCTGCCTGCCCAGTTGCCAGTTGCTTGTCCAAAACAACATGGTAAATATTTAAAAATGTACTTAGGCCAAAGTGAAAGAGACAGGCAGCCAGGCAGTCAGCCAACGAGACAGGCAACAAGCCAGAGTTAGAGTTAGAGCCAGAGCCAGAGCTGGAGTCAAAGCCAAAGCCTCGATGGCCCTGCAACAACAATTGAGGCAGGCGAGCGAGCGAGCGTTGAGGCGACAGATGTGACAAACAGCTGACTGCACTAACATCAACAACAACAACAACAGCAACAACAACAACACTGACTCAGTGCAAGACTCAATAATGCTTAGCCAGTTAGCCAGAGCGAAAGGAAGAGACAAAAATGTTTCGAGGCTTCAGGCCAAATGCAAATGATTGGCATGGGAAGCGCAATTTCAAGAGAGCTAAAGAGGCGACTAAGCTAAAAAGAAGTTAAGCTCAATTATGTGCTAAGTAGCAAGGAGCTAGTAACAACAACAAAAGCAACAACAACACTAACAACAACAACTACAAGTTGCAATTAGTTAGGAAAATTGCCAACAAACTTCGAGTGAGAGTTGAGCTTGGAGCTTGCACAAGCAAAGGCCAATTGACAATGACAGCCAACATGGCGTATGAGTCATGCGAGGCGCGCTTGATTTGTTAAACAAGCTGAAGCTGGAGCGGGAGCTGAAGCTGGAGATGTCTTTGTTATGGCAAGAGAGATGCTAGCTGGAGCTTATGAAAGTATGAAGTATGAAGTATTTGGACATTATGAACAATATTTTCACTTGAGGAACAGATTTTGTTTTTGGGTATGCGACTCAAGCTGTCAGTATTTGGACTGTGGGTTGGCTCGTCAGCAATCAGTTAAGCAGTGCATCAGTCATAATATAGATAGATATACATACATAAAAGGCGTTTTGAAAATGAGGTAAACTAATTCAAATTACGAAATTCATTTCTCTGGCTAACAGAGTTGGAATTTGGTGCTATTGTTTAAACATTCCCTCAAGCAGGATACGAGTTAGGCCACAATCATAAATCAGCAATCAATGAATCTTCTATCAGTTTCAATCAGAATATATTTTCTATATATATTCTTTACAAGAACAAAAACTAGCGAAAAATCTTCAAAGTTTCAGCTAAACATCAATCAGTCAATCCATTAATTGGCATACACACTACCCGAAATTCGATGATAGGCACTCAGTTTTCCTGGTTTACTTTTGAGTACTATGCATAATGGAATAGTTTTTTGTTTTTTTATTGCCTGTATATTAACATTTTAAACGATAAATCAAGCCAATCTACTCAATCCAAGCCGTTAGACTTTAAGCCTTTCGTCAATTCCTCAAGAAGGCAATAAATCAAACATTCGAAAAGCAATTCCAGTATAATGCAATAGACTTCGGCTTTAGGCTGCTTTGAGCATTAAGCTGCCTGCTAAAGACTTAGCTTTGATGTTCACTCATTAGTTAGTCAATAATTTAGCAAATGTTGAGCACAAAAGGATTTTCAATAGTAAAACTAATCTTTCTGAGTCTCCAAATGGGAGCTTAAAGTCAAATAGTCTATATATTAAAACGGATAGGAAATAATCTCTGCCAATTCACTTTATAGGCTATCGAAATTGTCAACCTATCAATCAAACAATCAATTAGCCCAGCTATTTATACACACGCAGCTATATCTAAAAACTTTACTCACGTTTTTTTCTCTTAGTTCAACTTACTTTCTGCAACTGCTCTTAGTAAACTTTTTTTCCGGGAACTTCATTAAATAATTGCTTCACCTCCTAAGGAGAGGTGAATCTCTTTACTTTTGCCCATCGTGGCAAGACCTTGCTGCAATCATGGCACAATTTAACTGGCATTCGCCTCAACATTCCTCAAGGCATTCAGCGCAAATTAATTATTGTATTTAGTTATTATTCATTTGCCGCAGCAAACAGAAAGGGAAAACAAAGGGCAGCAAAAACTTGAAAATGAATCGATGCAGAACTTGCAGAAATTGGGCTAAAACAATATGCGAAAGTAGTTCGGAAAAAGCATTTTGATAGCCAAACAAAAGTCATATGGAAATGAGAGTGCTCCCTTGTACCCTACATCACTCGGCGAGAATATATACATTCGTATATATATATATATTTAGAAAGTTTTCAACATGGAAAAGTTGGCACAGGGAAATGGCTGGCATTTATGGAAAGGAAGTGACGGGGCTTGAACTCAAAGCTGAAGCTCTCAGCTCACAGCTCACAGTTCTCAGCTCTCAGTTCTCACTTCTCAGCTCTTAGTTCTGAGCACAAATTACCAAGTAAATACAAAGCCGAGGTGCGTTTAGAAGTTACCAAGGGCAGAGCATACCTTGCTGCCCCTCTGGTTTTTCTTACTGCATCAATTTCTTAATAACTATTCTTTATTTTTTTCTCGCGCTGCTTCCGCTTGGCAGTTGCAGTGCCCGAGGAGTGTGTGGGGCGGCAGGGGGAGCAGCGCCCCATGTTGCACTCAAGCAATTTGTGGCATTATGTGAGGGTCTCGTTTGCCATTAACCCGCTGTGGTGCAGCTATTTTATATGCAGAAGTGCCACACAGTCCGTGGCCGAGTGCGAGTCCGAGTCCGAGTCCGAGTCCAGCTGAAGATTGGCATAGCATCTTGAGTTGCTTATTTTCTACTTCTTCTTTGCTTTTATTTAACCGTTTTCAATTTAAGCTTGGACCTTGTCTGCTGTTATTAAAAAACTGTTTGCGTCAATTTCACACACACACACACTCAGACAAACACTCGCATACACTTGGTGTTGGCTCATGGCAAGTCAACGAGCCAAACAAGCTGCAAACCAAGCAAATATTTGCAGCTGACAAGCACAGTGAAACGTAGACAAGCCCACGCCTGAATCTCCAACTAATCGCATTGCAACTGCAGTTTAATTAGTAAGTCTTTTGGCCACAACAGATTATCTGTTTGTATACAGAAAAGTGACTGATATATGACTGACTGATTGACTGACTGACTGCCTGCTTGATGAAAAGATTGGCACAGAATTCAAACTTTGAAAAGTTGAGATGATATGAAAAACTTTCAGAAAAGTTTCTTGAATGAATTTTGTTAAAGTTAAACTAGATCTCAAATAGGTTTATATGTAACTCGAATATTCTGTTCATACTCTTTTTAATAATTAATAACTTTCTTCTGCTTAAACATTCTGTTAAGTAATAAATAAACAGGGCAACATTGAAATTGGGCAACACCCTGTGCTGCATTGCTGATGCAAGCAGTAGGAATTTAACAGCTAAGCTTAGTTAACATTGCCGCTTGACCAAAAACCACGAGTCGCAGGCTCAAATCCAGTGACAAACATATTTAGCTTACATGCTCTGCTGTTAACATGCTGTTAAAATAGAGGAATGCTGTAAATATGCCCAGACACCCTGTGCTGAGTAACTGATGCAAACACATAGACTTAACACCCAAGCATTGCTGATAACAGCAGATCGCTGGTTCAAGTCCAGCTGCTGCCATTTTGCTTTACCATGCTGTTAATTATAACAGAGCGCACTTAGCACTCGCCGCACTGTGCGCGAAAGCCCAGGTTCAAACCCCACGGAAGTTATAAAATATATGTGTGTGCAAAAAACGTTTTTTTTTTTTTCAAATTAAGATTGACAAGCTGCTTTTATTAAAATAAAATAATACAGCTCTTGTTAAGCAATAAGCAAGCAGTAAAAGCAAACAGATTAAAACGAATCGTTCAAAAAATTTCCCAACGTTTTATGCCCTTCAGCCAATACATTGTACTTATATAGCTGCCCAGCTCGACGCCTTTTCATTTATTTCCTTTCTAACTCTATTTGCAGAAGACAGCGACAGCGAAGCCCACCAAATATCATTATTATCCACACAATCAACACATCTATCTGCTGCCCGAATGCGCCATCCAGCAGGTCTGCAATGCGGTCTATGTCCGTCTCAACTATACCCAGCCGCTCTGCGCCTGTCCATCAAGGTGAGCGAAAAACTAAAACTAAAAGAAATGAAGCCCAGCCCAACCCATGGCTAACCAACCGTAATGCCCCCCAAGCTAGCTCAGCTGGTCGTCCCAGGTTGCGCCCAACTGCGAATCGTCGTCCATCCAATTGTGGGGGAGGGAACGGGGGGCGCTCGAGTTGGTATTGGGAAGTTGGGGGATTGCTAGACAGACAGCTGCTAAACACTAAGCCCAATCTGTCTTTTTTCGCTTTTTTTTCTCTCTCTCCTTAGATATCGTGATCCCTGCTCGGCCAGCCTCAACGAAGATGATCAGCACACCACCAAATTGGTCGGTGATAATAAGAAGAAGGTAAGTTCTGCCATCTAAGCAGTGGGGGAGCGTGCTAAGCAAGCCAAATACACTGAGCGAAACACACAAATCAATTGAAATTGAAATTTGCTTAAAGAGCGCCGAGGTAATTTGAGTTGTCTAAAAGAAATTTCAATGGAAATCTGAAATCGAACAAAAAGGAAAACAGAAACTCATTTTGCAAATTCAGATCCCAACTCTAGCAATTTGGTAAATCGGATTTATTTTCTTAATGATCTCAGCTCTGGTTTATCTCACCATCAAAATACGTAGCTAATTTTTTATGGCTTTTTAAGTTCTCAGAGTCAGAGTTGATTTATTCGTTTGCCCTTTCTGAATGGGCTAACTCTGGCATAATTACTAGGCTTTCATATCGTCAGCGATCAGCGATTATTTTGCTCAGTGCATGGCAATTCGTATAAGTAATTGCTATCAATGATAGATCATGTGGCTGGGCACGACTGGAACTGCTTTTATAGATTCTTGTTTCAAGATTTCCTGGAAGGATCTGCCAATGGGCTAACAAGTTCCCAGTTTCCCACAAACACCAACCACCCGCTGCAAAAATGTGAGTGTGTGGTGCAATTAGTGGTGCAGCGGTGCATAATTGAGTTATAAATGCTGCGAGCTGCGAGCTGCCACTATAAATTTGCCATAAATGTAATAATAATAAAAAGTTTTTAATAGTTTAATGAGCGGGATCGTCAATGTGGGCTGCGGCTAATTGTGTGCGGCCGAGTACCGTTAAATGCCACACTTGCTGTGCTGCATATCTTGCCGGAACTGTACCACTAGCAAAATTATGAAAATGCGTTTAAAAAGCTGACAACGGACTGCGGACAGCGGACAGCGGACAGCGGACAACGGACTGCGAGTAGGCAGAAGCTTAGCTAGAAAAACTGGCACAACTGGCAGGCCACATTAACCTGAATGGCAGCCAATTGGCAGCCAATGGAGCGGGCGAAAGGAAATGCCAGCCAGCCAGCCAGCAGCATGCAAAGAGCGCCGCAAGTCAATCAAATTATTGACAGCAAACAGCAACAGCTAGTAAGAGTGATCTAGTATGAACAGATTGACCAAAAGATACTCTAACTAAAAGAACTAGAAGCCAGCTATCAAGAAAAACTTTTAACTATTGTCTAGCTAGGCATTACAGAAAATCTCATAGCAAATTTGATAGCTCTAGCTTTCATAGCTCTCGAGATCTGTTCAAAATGCCAAGCTCTAAATTCAATATATAAATATTTTAAATACCAAAAGCTACAGATTTTATAGTTTGCAAGGTAGTACGAGCTATGTTAAAGGTTTAGCCTGGTCTCGTCTAGGCTTACAGGAGTTAGAGATTAGTTAAAAGAGTAAAATATAACTTATCTAATTATAGAAACGGTCACATTTTACTTGTCTAATTCTTGAGTAATGGCAATATGTGAGCCTAGTCTTAAAACCATATTAATGGATATTCAGAAATTTGAAGTAGTTCTGAGATGCATATCAAAGATATTTCAGATTAGGTTAGATCTTTTACACTAGATGTTCAAGAAAAGAAACATTCTCATAACTATAGCATAAGCTATAGTAATGCCAATATACCCATTACTCGAACATCTTATATTGGCTATCAATCGAACAACAACAACAACAACAGTAGCCCAATTGTAACACGGAAAATCTGTTAAAAGGACAATCATGGCAATGGCAGTCAATTGAATGGGAGTTCAGGCATTGCATGAGATCAACTGCCAAAGCAATTGGCTTTAGCGATTTCGGACAAGCTTTATGGCTAATGTGGCACACAGGCAGCACAGCACAGACAACGCCCTGGGCTCAGAGCTCACTTGCTCAGCCAACGGTGGCTGCTTTGGATGGATTACACAGCTAGAGATACAGTTTTGCACTTTGCCAGGCAGTCAGCCAGCCTTTGGGTTGCATGTTAACTTTCAATTTGAGCCACGATCAGTGAATATCAATAGGGAGCGGTTTTAGCGGGCTGCACTGCAACTTTCTTCGGCTAGCCCTGTGGGCCAGCCAATCTAAAACAGACGCCGCCAAGTGAATGTCTAATTGCAGCACTCATGCACTCGACTCCTTTTAGCCAGCCATTAGGCATGTCTAGACGGCCTGAAAACGGTATTCATTACACTAATCAAAACTCTTCCTCTCGCTCTCTTCCTTTCTGTCTCACTTCCTGTCCCTCTCCCACTCCCGCTCAACAGGCAATTACGCTGGCCAAAACGTGCGAGGCAACAACTGAGATGCGCGAATGCCGTTCACCCAAGGATTGGTCCCTGTTGGCGCTGCAAAACACACGCACTGGCAAATCGCACTATCTTGTCATATGCCGCTGCCCGGATCACTTCAAAATGGGTAAGTAAACACAGCAGCCAGCAGACGACGGCTTCAGAATCGTCTGGTACAAGCAATTAAGAGTCTAGTCTAGAGCTAATCGAGTAGAGACTTTGTGAGAACTTAGTTATAACCACAAGTTCCCTACCTGAGGCTTTACATCTTTAGTTAATTAAGATTTTCCTTCGTAAGACTTACATCAATAGATGACTAAGGTTTTCCTTTCCACGTGTTGCTTCCTTATAAAACTCAGGCTTGAATTCCTAAGGGTGACAGTCTTAGCTCACTAAGATTTTCCTTTCTAAGGCTTACATCGTTAGCTAACTAAAAAGATTTTCCTTACAGACAAATAACTAAAGCTTTAATCCTTTCTCAATGTTACTTTCTTGGTTAGAACTAATTAATGCTTACATCTATCCGAAGACTTACAGAGCTTGTTAGAGCTAGCTTAGGCTTCCATGATTCCTAAGTGTTACATTCTTAGCTGGAACAAGCTAAGACAAATATTTCTTAAGGTTTCATCCTTATCTGAACTCTGTTCGTATTCGCTTTAATCCTTAAGCAACATCCTTCCACATCTTATCCAACCCTCTCACCACAACCTTTACTAACAAGTTCCATTCCTCCACACTTCACAGAGGGACCCATGGCTCATGATCAGCCCACCTATGCGAGCGTGCCCGGAATCCGTGTCTTTGGCATGATGTGCGTCAAGCCGGGCTACTCGGTGCGCAAGCCCAGTGTACAGCCGCCCAAGCGCTACCAGCTGCAGAAGCCCTTCTATCGTCCAGGCGGTAGCAGCAGCAACAATGGCGGCAACATAATGGGCGGACAGAAGGACAGCTATGGCAGACCCATTTACGGCGGTCTATCCGGCGGTCAGGTGGGCAGCTCAGCCATCAGCGCCAACTATCAGCCACAGGATCAAAGCTTCCAAAACGGCGGCGGCAGCTCTTATCAGTATCTAAATCGACCGGAGAGCACACACAATACGCACAGCAGTGCGGCTAACTTCCGACCGGATCAATTCTCACTCAACGGTTTCCCGGGCAGCAATTACGGACGCAACAATGAGCGACGCGGCGAGGCGCCGCCCATCGAAGCAGCTGCCGAGGAACGCGATCAAATGCCCAGTGGCAGCAGCAGCACACAGTCGAGCGATGAGGCAGAGGCACGGACTACGCTCCAGGCGGAGCAGAGCGAAGCAACTACGGCGGAGTTGACGACACAGCCGGAGCCGACGAGCCGTGTTAAGCGATCGCTCGATGCGCTGGATGACTACGAGCCCGAGTTTCCCTGGGATCGTGTGCTCGAGTTTCAACAGAGCATTGTCTGGGACTAGAGGCAAACCCTAAGCTGAAGCTTAAGTAGTAAAACAATTTTGAATGGGATTATTTCCGGAATACTCTGCAACCTACTGTGACTGAAGCTAAACGAGGATCGCGATCAACTTGATTGTGCCCAGAGATAGATAGTGAGCGGAAGGGAGAGAGCGAGAGAGATGGGTTCAACGACTACATGACAGAGAGGCGATTTTACGTAACGTAACGCATAACGTAACGTAACGTAACGGATTTACAATTAGACGCTAAGCATTTAACTTTAAGCATTTGAAATGGCATTTTTCGATCTTAAGCTGATCGCCTAGCAAACCTTCCTTAATTTATAACAAATACTCGTATTTTGTATTTATTTAAATGAGAAACAAAAAACAATTACGAATTAATTAAACAATTATGCGCCCACGCCCACGCCCGAACTAATTGTTTAATTAATTTGTTTTGCATATCGAAAACCCAAAATATGGCATCAATTCCATTTTTTAAATAAAATATTTAACATATTTAAACATATCTTAATTAAACAGTGAAGCAAATCATTTAAATTATAAACAAAACAAAAAGAAAATATTTATAAATTTAGTTGCCTATTTATGTTAGATCTAAGCTGCATTTACTAGTAGTTAAATTAAAACAAAACTGATCAATGTAAACGATTTTAATGAATTTTTGCTCTGCTGTGCATACGAAATGCATATGTAATAAATTATTTATACATTTTAGTTAAATAAATCAAACAAATTGCATTTATTTGTGGAATGAAAGAATCCATGGGCACAACATAATCTGGTAATGTTAGCAATTGCAGATAACAGAGCAAGCAAAATCAACATGAACATAATAATGCTGTCGGCAATGCATTCGTAAATTCTGTACAAATATTGTGAACAGAAGAATGTTATTAGCAGCTACCTAAGGAAATGTTATTGGCAAATTTCATATATACAAACACAACAGAACAATGTTATTATCACTTATTCAATTGCAAGAGAGAAAGAGCTTTCATTAAAAGCGCTCAAATCATTTAACTTAACATTGCAATGTAAAACTACGATTGAGTGCCTCTTAACAGTGATGGGAGACGGCTGAATTTATGTTATTTAACATAACATTTCAATATGAAAGAGTCGAGTATGTTAATATAAATAATAAAGCATAGGACTCACCCAACATTTCAGCATCGACCACAATATTACAGCTGTACATAGGCGTGACTAAACGCTGTGGTTGATTCTGAAAAGCCTGCCGACAAACTTCCTTGGCAGCTGTCAACACTTGACCTGTTAAGATTTAACATAATTATGGTAATATGTACATAGATGGGTGTAAGAATGGATAGACTCACCTGAGAAAGGTCCAAAGCCGCGTGCATTTAGATCCTCACCCTCGGACTGAACGGACCACTCGAGCACCGCAAAGCACACTCCTTGCATAGGCTCCTCACAGAGCGGACCCGCGCCCGTCGTCAATTGGAAGCCATTCACCAAGGAGCTATTGAAATCTCGGCGTGGATCGGTCAAGTCAGTATCGCTCTTGGTTTGTGTACACCAGAAGTCGGGCTGCTCGTAATCGCTAAGATTGAGTAGAATATTTGTGCCACAATTGCGTGGGCCCAGCGCCCAGATGCGCTGCACCAGCTCCGCGGGCGACAGGGAACTGAGTCCATGTAGCTGCAGCTCCGAGAAGGCAATGACCAGTTGACTCCTAATGGAGGCCAAGAGCGCTGAGAACTTCTCCGAGAGCAGAGCATTGCGTGGCGCGGCAGCCAGCTCCTAGAAAGGCAAAACGGATTAGGGCTTCATTGAATTTGGATTAGGAACTGCCGACCTCACCTTAAAGACATTGCCATGCTGCTCCAGCAGCTGGACAACGGCAGCAGGCAGTGGCAGAGCTATAACCCTGAGCGTGCCCAGCTTGTTCAGAGTCTGCTGCGTGGCTATCTTCTTGCTGATATCCTTGTCGTCGGCTGTCTTCACTATGGCCTCGTTGACCATGTCCACAGTTGCGTCGGGCACAATGGTTTCCCTGAACGAAACAATTGGCTTGGACACATTGACCTTGATCTTGGCATAGCTCTGCTCCAGATCGTGCACACACTTGTCCACGTGCACTTCGCCCAGGGTCGTTATCACGTGCTCTCCCGTTGGCGCCACTGAGACCTGGACGCAGGCATCCGCTTGGTTGAGCAGCTTCAGACCCTTCACCAGCTTCGGCATGTCCTGCGGCTGCACTGGCTCAATGGCAACACGCAGTATAGGCGTAGCCATAATGCTCAGCTCGCTGAAGGAGGTGCAGTCCAGTGTGCTGCTCAGTGTGGCTGTCTTCACAATGTGCGACTCCAGGCCACCGATGCCAACGATGTTGCCCGCTGGCACCTCCTCCAGCAGCTGCAGCTCGCCGCCCATGAACATGTACAGGTCTCCGACTGTCACCTGAGTGGCGTAGGGCGCCTGGTCGAGCACTCGGTGCGTTGGCTGCCTGGGATCGTGCTTGGGCGTTAGATTATACAGCTGCATGCCGCGTCGCAGTGTGCCGCTAAAGACTCGCGCAAATGCTATGAACTCGAAGGCCTTGCGCTCCGGCTCCGGCTCCGGCTCTGCCTCTGCTGCTGCCTCTGCCGCAGCTGACTGCGTGTTCAGCTGCTCCACGCCCGCAGTGAGCTGCTCCAGTTGTGCTTGCTCGCTCAGCTGCTTGCGCTCCTCGATGCGCCGACGCACTTCATCGCGGCGCTGCTGCAACTCCTGATCGGTCAGGCGCTTGGGCCGATTCTGTGGCAACTGCTCCACCGCTACGGGCATCATTTTGGACACAAATGCAATGAAATTCTCGCTCTGCGCATTGCAGCTCCTGAAGCTCTCCTTGAGTGCCAGCGTCTCAGCGGGCAGCGAGCTGAGCTCAACATTGGCTGGATAGAGCAGACGCTGTGCTCGCTCCTCGCTGATGCAGTGCGGCGGTGGCACGTGGCGCACCACCATTTGGAGCACGCTCCGATCGATGGGCAGCCACTGGCCCAGCACTGTTTTGATCTGCAGCTTGGCATCGGTCAGGCGCAGATCCCGCGCAGCCAGCTTCAGGCCCAGTTTCTCAGCTATCAGCGGCAGCTTCTCCTTGTCCTTGCGCACGGCTATGATGTCGTACAGACTCCAGATGTTCTCCAGCACAAACTGCACGAACATGGGCTTCTTGGCCTTCTCCTGGGCACCGGCCATAACACATTTCTTTTTGCTATTGTAGTAAAAGTCGCCCCAGAGCTTTTGCTCCAGCTCGGCACGTGGAATCTCCAGTCGTTCCGCATAGGTGACTGCAAAATCGGATACAGCAAAGGCCCAGCCATCGTAGGCAGAGCAGAAGACCACGTTGCCGGCAGCTGGCGAGAAATACAGCTCCGAATCATCCACATTCTCCAGCGCCGATTCATAGTTATCCTTATCCGTCAAATCTTCCTTGGCCAGCACATCGGAGGCGAAGATGCTGCCCAGCACAGCGTTCACTTGCTCTAGCACCTGAGTCAAATGAAAATACGCGTCCAGCGGCGTCATTTGCTTCTCCATGATCAAACGATCCAGCTTATTGAGCAACAAAACTGGCTTCAGCTGCTCCTCGTAGATTTGTTTGAGACAGGCGCGTGTTTGTGGCCCAACGCCCTCAACCACATCCACGACGACTATTGCGCCGTCACATAGACGTACAGCCGTGGAGACCTCACTGGAGAAGTCCACATGACCTGGTGAGTCTATCAGATTTATCAGATAGTCCTTGTTGCTATTGTCTTGATAATATAACGAAATGCTGCTGCTCTTCATCGTGATGCCACGCTCCTGCTCATCCTGACGGCTGTCCATATAACGCAATTTGCCTGCAATACAAAATTTCATATGAATTGGAAACACAATGAGCAACAGACACAACAACAACAAACCGGCCATGCGTTGTGAAATGATGCCATTGCTTGCCACGAGGGAATCCGCCAGCGTTGTCTTGCCATGATCCACGTGCGCCAATATACATATATTTCGCACCTGTTGCTGTTGTTTCTGCAGCAGTACAAGCTCATTGATGTCCACCACGGGCATTTTGTCGCCTAAATAAATTTTACCTGTTGCCGAACTAAGTTTTTAAAACAACTACGCTTGCAATATCGATAGCACCGATAGGCAAAATGAGTACATTGGCACGGCTGTAAAAGCTCTAACAGCTGTTTAGCCAATCAGCATCGTCAGGCGCTCGCAAAAATACTCATACTGAAATTCAAATATTCATTTCATTACCAACGTTAATTATTCAAAACATTATTCTAAAAGAATTTAATTAGTAGCTGTATTTCACAATGCCATACTACCTGTTTATTAATCATCAACTAACTGTATGCTGTAAAATACTTCAACAATGTCTTTTGTTATCGATACCACAATTGAGTACGTTTGCCGTTGAGTAAATTTTATCAGCTGCTCTTGCATTGCCGCCAAATTGAAAATTTGAAAATATATACTTTCTTCGCCAAAATTTTATTTAAGCAATATATAATTTTTAAAACTCAATAAAAGCAAATTGCAAAAATGCATTTCGATAGTGATCATGTGTAAATTGTCGGCTTAGTTAATGGTTTAACAGTATTACACGGCTCAGGTAAGCTGGATGATTGGTTTACTTAATGGAGCAATTGGCCAATTTGCTGGTCAATTGCTCTCCCTCGGTTGTAAGCAGGAAATTGTTCTTCCACACAGCAACGCCTTCGGCATTCGTTTTGAAGTCGGCAGAGAGTTTCTCCCAGACCTTTTTCTTGGGATTCAGCTGCTCATCGGGTGTGCCGCTGTAGCCCTCAAAGGAGAGTCGACTGCCGGGCTTAGCTGCTGCTGGCAACACAATAGGCTCCACAACTGTGTGGTCGGCGCTGTAATCAAAAGGCAGTTAGAGTTTACAGGGGATTACTAGAGAGCTATTCAGCTAAGCTTACTTGGACGTGCAGAGCACCATGCCCTCGGACAAAATACCGCGCATTTTGGAAGGCTTCAAATTGCAGAGGACTGCAACCAGTCGCTGATCCAGCTCCTCCACAGTCACAAACTTGACCAGGCCGCTTATAATGGTGCGTGGCTGCGCCTCTGCCAGATCTATTTTGAGTACATACAGTGTGTCTGCATCTGGATGCCGAGCCACCTCGATGACTTTGCCTACTCGAATGTCCAGACGATGTGGTCCATCCTCCTCAGCGCCTGCAGCAGCGGGCGCAGCATTGCCTTTCACCTTGGCGGGCGGCGGATAGGCAGCAGCTGTTAGTTTTCTACAAATACAAATATAAAACTATATCCGAATAATGTCTATGGAGTAACTCACTTCAGTTCGGGCTCCTCAAAGGTCTTGCGTATGGGATCCAGTAATCGATTTATGTACTTTTCCACGGAGGCCTTCAGGTCGCCCGGATGCAGCTTATTGTCTGCATAGTATTGCTCCAGCTCCGGATACTGATAGAAGGTAATATCGCCACCGTTGTCCGCAGCACGATTGATCTCAAAGCCCTCGCCCTCCTTAAATAGCGAGAAGAGCACGTGCTTGACAAAGGAGAGCAGTCCATTGTCTGCAATGTTGCCCGGCTCGCAGAAAGCCTTCTTCAACTTCTTCTTCACATTAGCCGGCGAGTCGAGGAGATCTATCTTCGAGTCCTCCTCGGAGGAAGACATCTTGCCACCAGCCAGGCCAGGCACTGCAAAGCAAAATTGCATTATTTAATGAATTCTCTATTGATGAATCATCTCTGACTCACCCATGGGATTCATAAAGTGTATGCGTTTCTCGTAGCCAAGCTGTGGCAAATACTTCTCGGAGAATGTGAATATTTTGCGCTGATCCACACCACCGAATTGTGCATCCACTTTTAAGTACTCCTCATCCAAGCCTTGCAGACCGGGATACAACAGGCAGGAGAGCAGTGGGAATTCCACCTGTTTGACCACCTCGGCGCCGGCTTTCTTAGCATCGTGAATGGTGACCAGAGAGCTCAGTTTGTACACATCCAGCGTGTACTCCTTGGACAGCTGGTAGTCGCTGCCCTTTACAAACTTCAGCTTATCCAATGGAACGTCAATGGAACGCAACATCGCCTTGATCACCTGCTCGTAGTATTTCGTGCGCAGCTCGAGCAGCGGCCACGGCGCCTTCATGTTGTCCAAATAGGCGTGCAGATCGGCAAACAGTATTGTCACCTCACAGCCGGCTTTCAAGAAGTCCGCAATCTTGGACATGGGCACAAAATAGGCGACATGTGGCTTTCCCGTCGTCGCCGTGCCCCAGTAGATCTTCAAATCGCGCTCCTGCAGTATTTTTGTTAGCTTATCATCGCCGAGCGTCTCTTGCAGGTTGCGCGTAATGAGCTTTTTCTTCTCATCCGCACTTAGTGTTGATCCAACCATTTTTAAACTAATTTATTAACGTTTTGCTGCACACTTTGCGAAATAGCTGCGGAAAAGAAGAAGAGAAGTGCATGCGTGGTCAGTGTTTGCGATGTGGCAACGCTATCAGCTGTTCAAGTAGGCAACTCATATTCAGAGTTGCGAACTTAGCCTATTTCAAGCTAGACCCATTGGAAATGCGTATTGGTTGCATATATGTATGTATCTGTTCGTGTGTCTGTGTGTATATCTGACTCTCTGACAGCCTCCCTGCCCATCTCTCACTTAAAGCTCAAGAGCAACGATCACTAATTGAGTTCGGGCTCACTAATTGAGTGCGACCTAGTGTGAGAGTGAAAGTCTTCCTATATAAAGGAAAGCAGCTGCAGCATTTCTTCAGTCGCCCAGGCCTAATGGGGGTCAGCCGTGCAGTGTAAGTAAGTAAAGACCGTCCAGCTACGCTTAGAGGAAATGAGTGTAGGAATTTCTTGGAGGAAATCGTTGAGCAGCGGGCATATTTATACTCACGACACGCTGTCATCTCTGTTTCTGCACAAACATCTGGCAGCTCGATCAGCTGAAGAGCCGCTTTAAACATAAACAAACATTTTGCTGCACATATTGTTTTTATTTTAGTTGATTTTAACTGAAAATGTTTAGTGTACGAAGTGTAAGGACTCTGAGGCAGTGCCTCCGGGCCACTCACAGGCTCTGTCACAGCGAGGTGCGCGTACGCTTTGCTCCAAGCCCCACGGGCTACCTGCATTTAGGTGGTCTACGAACTGCTCTATATAATTATTTATTTGCTCGGCATTCCGGCGGCAAATTCCTGCTCCGCATCGAGGATACAGATCAAACGCGGCTGGTGCCGGGCGCCACAGAGCGCCTCATTGAAGATCTGCTGTGGGCAGGCATTGAAATAGACGAGGGACCGGGATTTGGAGGAGCACATGGACCTTACATTCAGAGCCAGCGCAGGGAGCTGTATAGGTGAAAGGCTATTTTTATAAATATATCATATCCATCAATTTACAGCTTTATATATGTTTATAGCCAAGCTGTGGAGCGCCTACTAGAGAATGGCAGCGCCTATCGCTGCTTCTGCACGGAGCGTCGCTTGGATCTGTTACGTAAGGATGCGCTGCGGACCCGTCAGGTGCCGCGTTACGACAACAAGTGCCGCCACCTAACGCCAGAGCAGGTGCAGCAGCAGCTGGACAAAGGAGCTCCCTACTGCATACGCTTTAAGCTGACGTCGCACGAGGAGCCGCTCCAGGATCTCATCTATGGCAGCGTCCAGCACAATGTGAGCGAAACAGAAGGTGATCCTGTTATCATGAAGAGCGATTTGTATCCCACGTACCATTTGGCCAATGTGGTCGACGATCACCTGATGGGCATAACGCATGTGCTGCGCGGCGTGGAATGGCAAATCTCAACGACGAAGCATTTACTGCTCTACAAGTGAGATTCCAATTGTATAGAAATGTATTTCTATTACAAGCTCTGCTCTCATCTTCCTCCTTAGAGCCTTCGACTGGCAGCCACCACAGTTTGGTCATCTGCCGCTGCTGGTCAACGCGGATGGCAGCAAGCTGAGCAAGCGCCAAGGCGACATTGGCATCAAGCAGTTCAGGGATCGCGGCTACTTTCCCACTGCGCTGATTAATTACATCATCTCGGCCGGCGGCGGCTTTGAGCATCGAAGCCACAGCAAGCCTCAGCTCTACTCCATGCAGAGTCTCGCAGAGCAATTCCGTTTGGAGCGCGTCAATGCCCATCCCAGTCGCCTGAATGCCGAGCTGCTCAATGACTACAATCAACTGGAGCTGACGGCACGTCTAGCTGATCCGCTCAAGCGCAAACAGCTCGTGGCACATGTGCAGCAGCTCGTCCAAGAAGCCTATCCAGATCAGTGAGTTCTCTGTGCAATGTCAATCAAGTTTTCCTCATGCACTTCTCTCTTGATGCAAAACAGCTCCGACTTGGACCTAGCTGAATCCCATATTGAGGCAGTGCTCCATTGGTCAGCACAGCGTTTGACCTTGCTGCAGGATTTAACCAGCAGCAAGCTGAGTTTCTTGTGGGTCAAGCCCACTCAAGTTGTGCTCAAGGAATTGAGTCCGGCCCAATGGCAACAGCTGCTGCAGCAACTGCAGGCCGAGTCCAACTTTCACAAGGATCAGCTGAATGAGCTCCTCAAAGGCTTTGCCAAAGCGGCGTCCATCAAATTCCCAGCGCTAATGAAAACTCTGCGCGGAGCCTTGAGCGGACTGCAGGAAGGACCAGGCGTTGCGGAAATGATGGAGATACTGGGCAAAGATGTGGTGCTGCAGCGTTTGCAGGAGAGCCTGGATAAGCAGAAGCAGCTGCAGCTGCAGCAATAGACAACAAAGACTCTTTGACTAGATAATTATAATTGTTATATTTGTGAAGATTAAGATTTAAGATGAAATGAGTAATCGTAGCATTTAAAGTTATCTGCTTAAGCACCGCTCCGTTTTGCAAATTTGGCATTATCCGGACTTTCTTAATAGACCACGCCTACTTGTTATTATTCATATATATATATATATATATAGTATAGTTGGGTATATATATTTGAGGGTAATACTGTTTAGCTAAAGTCCCGATTGGAGAGCACAATGGGTGCGACAAGACTCCAGCCATAGATGAAGACGCCTAGCCAGCTGGATATGATCTTGACCCACATGGAAGCCTCATTGCCGTTGATCAGCTCTATATCCGAATTGGGCTTATACCAATTGGTCAAGGTCATCATGACGTAGAGGGAAGCTGTGCAGAGATATGACATCTATATAGCAGAGACTCCATCAATTTTTATTCCATGAGCTTACCGCAGACGAGGACAGTGTGGAATGCGGACCAACTGTAGCTGACGGACTCCGTCTCGTTGTCCGTGTTGGGCTTCTCGCCAGCGGCTCCGGTCTCTGTGTCTGATAGAGCTTCTGTTAAAACTATATTAGTTATATGGGGTTGTCGGCATATGGTGCACAGTTTCGTAACCCAAAGGCCCAAAATCAACGTTGGTTAGTGGAGTGTTTGATATATATAGAGATATATATATATATACAGCAAAATAAGAGTGTTTCAATAAAAATAATTGAAAATAGAGAAAAATGTGTTAGTTCAGTAGTTAGCCAACAATAAATGTGATATTGAAATGTGAATGAAGCTGTGGATTAGGATTAACACTTATGGAACTGTAGGACAGAGAGACCATGAAACTGTGCCATGTGCGAGACAGAAGAACAAAGAAAACACTTAAACTGCGGCCGTAGCCGAAGTTGCCAAATGCCCTTGCCGAGAGATATGCAGTGGATATGAGATTAGATTACAGATATTACAGATATGAAGTTGATAAGACTCTGTCTGCATGTGGATCTTCTGAATCGTATGCAGAGAGCCAAGTGAGTGACATGGATGGCATTGATCTTCTGTTACCAAGAGGCGAGTTAACAAATGATTAACAAACTCTTGCATAACACGCAGTTATGCAGACAGACAAATCTGAACAATATCAGCTCTTAGTACACAGACTATATCTAATTAAGCCATATTCCCAACTGATTCTCAACTGCATTATCTTTCGCAAGGTCACACTGACTTCTAATCACGTACCACGTTTCTCGCTGTTGTCATTGTTGATGTTGGAGACCTTCACAGCCGAGCTGAAGCAATTGTAGAGGATGCAGAGCAACCAAACCACTAAGCCAATTATATTAGTCGTATCGAAAGTGACCTTCGAGTTGTGGGGGGAGGGTGCAACGGTTGTGGTAATATTGGGCAATCCATCCATCAAGCCAAACATGCCCGGATTGCAGGCCTTCTCTGCAAAATGACAGCAATTAAAAACTCGAAAGTATAGGAGTGCTTAAATCAGTGGACCAACCCGGATTATTGGCCACAGCGGACCAGGTCAAGTAGACGGTGTACAAGGTAACCAATGAGCTCTGCAACAAGCCCGAATGTGGCAAACGTTCCTGCACAGCCGGCAACACCGACAAAACGCTGATGACCAAGCAGAGTATGAGATTTATGGAGATGAAGAACTTGTTGATGCCGCAGCCAGTCGACTAGAAGAGAGAGAGAAAGAAGGTTTATTTTAGTATACATGAAGAGAGTAATTAATGCATATACTCACTGTGGTAAAGTAGATGTAGAGCAAAGTAATGCCAGTGAGGGAAGCAATATAACTGAGGAGAGTGACGCTTGCCAATGCATAATAATAGCCGCGATTGTTCTCTGCATTCTCTGTAAATAAAAGGAGAAATTATATAGGAGAAAAGGGAGAAAGTGGAACAGCATCAGTCCGGAGAGCCTCTACTCTCTACTCAATCAACTCTAAACATTACTCTCCATATGCTTATCATCAATCAGTTAAATATGTCGTCCATCAGTCAACCAATCAAATCTGAGTACCGTCTACATGTTAGCTGTCAATCAATCATGCTCAGATCTATGTGGATAAGCCGTCTTACTGCCTAATCCTATTCCATATGGTTATCATCAATCAGTTCTACCTCAAAGACGCCCTAAGCCGCTTCCATATGTTCACTAATCAATCCCTCAATCACGCCTCAATTCAACCAGTTTTGCTTACCAATCCAATTCTCAGCCACGCTATGGGCAAAGTCCACGATGATAACCAGCTGGACGAGTATGAAGGCCAGTCCACCAATCAAACCCACCCACATCATGGCCGGTCCGAAGGATCCATCCGGTATGAAAATGGCCGCAATCGAGGCGCCAAAGCAAATCAAAAACTTCAAAGGCCAAAATTCGTTTTGAATGTGCGAGCGCGGATCCCTGGAGCTCTTCACGCCCAGCATGATGACGGCCATCAGAGTAAAGAAGCAGGCGAGACCAAAGCAGAGCCGATAGACAGCCATATAGCCCAGAGCATATTCACAGTCCAGTTGCAAAGAGCCGCCCGATAAGGCGCCTATAGTCGTGGAGCTAATTGTCGAGGTGGAGTTGACGCAAAATGGCAGCTTCTTCAGCGTGTCCTGCAGGCCAGGCGAGAGGGCAATGGCACCAAGAATTGTGCCTACGAGCAACATGAAGGCGTACATAAAACGGGATGACGAGGAGTTCTTGCAGGTGGGGCAGGCAGAGCAGCACATGCTGGCAGCCGTGCCCGTGCAGCAGAGCGCACACTGGAAGAAGATTTAAAAATCAAAAATATAATCGCATCCTAAGCATTCAACCACCAAAAATGCCACCACTGAGCATCGATTCTGTGGCCATTAGCTATTTTTATCCAATGTGAGTACGCTTTTGCTGTCTCACTTTCCAGCTAGAATACCGCAGCAGCTGTCAGCACTGACAATCGATTTTGATGCAGTTGTTTGGCATATGCGCAATTTGTTTTCACAAGCCAAGCAGATATCACGTTGCTTGGCAAATACGCACCTGCGCCGCTGAACAAAGGCCCAATGCAGCTCCCATTGTTAAAAGCCCCAATTAGTTAGCGTAAATTACTTTTGCTATAAATTTAAGTCGAGAACAGTCCCACCGACGCGCTTTGTTTGTGAAAACTATGAACAAGTGCTGGAAAGTGTGTTGTGTGTGAGCTGTTAACAACAGTGCTAACTGAGCTAACAGCAATAAACCGATAGATTTGTCTGAGCAACACTGCGAGAATGTTACCATGGCTGGAAAATATTGAAATGGAAATTTACCGTTCAGTTTTGTTTTGTGAGCGGTTGCGTCTGGTTGGTGCGGTACCTTTTAATTGTGCGCAAATTGTGTGGTGCATTTTTTGAAAAACTGTAGTGGTGGTTTGACTCTTCGACTGCGACTGCGACTTCGTCTCTCTTTCTGTCTCTCCTGTATATGTGCTCGTGCCCCGTATCCGTGAATGTGTATGTGTGTGCGTGCATTTGAACAAGGAAAAGTGTGAAGATTTTTGAAAGAAAGCGCAACTTCGATTTGAAGAAGAAATTTAAAGATTAATAAGTAAAAAAAAGAAAGAAAATGGCAACCGAAGTAGCTCAAATACCCGCTGAGGAAACGCCTGCAGTAGCCGCAGCAGCAGCAACAACAGAGAACGCTGCTGCTGAGCAGGCGGAAAAACCTGCTGCCGAGCCTGTCGCCGCTGCCGCTGCCGTCGCTGAGAACGCGGCCGCCGCTAACGCCCAAGACAACAACAAAGAGGATGCGAAGGCGTCGCCAGCCGCTGGTGCTGCCGATGGAGCCGCCGCTGCCGATGCGAAGAAAGATGGTGGCGATGCTGCCGCCGTCGCTGCCCCAGCCAAATCCGAAGCGCCAGCACAAAAGTTCAATGTGCACAAGACCAATTTTGAGAAGGACATCATTTATCTGTATCAATTTTCACGCACTCCCCTGCTGCCGTCTCTCTCACCGTATTGCCTGAAAGTGGAGACTTGGCTGCGTCTGGTGGGGCTCAAGTACGAGGTAGGTTACTTTCCATATTCCCGTATGCCATTCCAGCATCATAATTTCTATATATACATTTCGCTAACATATTTAAAATTTAACATGATTTTCCCATTTCCCTGGCGGGTTTTTCATCATAAATTTTTTTTTTTTTCCATACACACATGTATGTATTTTTGCGGTAGAGATTTTTTCCACACACACATATGCAGGCGCAGGCACAGGCACACGCACACTCATACATAAAAACCGCCATGATTGTGTGCTAAGCCTGTGACCTGCCCGCGCACCGCGCCCTATAGACCAGCATACGCTGAAAAGGGATACATTTAGCATTGCCTTTTCTTTCTATCCCGGCAAACAACACACACACACACACATATATACGCATACAGGCAGACTTCCAATGCGTGGCTGTATGTGTGTGTGTACTCATATTTGAACCTGTAGCGAGCCAGGCCAGGCCAGGCGTTTTGTTGTTGCTGCTGCTGCTGCTGGATTTTATTCCTGTCCGTTCATGTGTATGTGTTCGTGTGTGTGTGTGCGTCTACATAAAACAGCGTATACATAAAATTTGTGTGTGCGCCGACGCCGCTGCGCTGCGCTGTGCCTGGCCTCTGCCTAGCTGCCGTTTCGTTGTCAACGTCTCGCCGCTACTCTCTCTCTCAAGTTGTGCTTTATACTCCACTGACACTCACATACATATATGTATATACCGACACACACATACGGAGACACAACACACTCCCTCACCCTTCCCTAATGCGAAGTTGTGCTTCAAATTTTGCACTTGGCACTCGAGCTGGCTCTCACTCTCTCTCTCATTTGTGCTCTTGCTCTCACAGCAGAAACGGCTCCCATTTTAATGCTCCGGTCTTTGTCTTTGTTGCTGCTGCTGCTCGCTGCAGCTGCAGCGCTCTGCTTCATTTAGTTGTTTTTTTTTTTTTTTTTTTTTTCTTTCAGTCTCTGTCTTTGCCTTGCACAAAAATTCCAAGCCCCGTTTTGTGCCCGTTTTGTAATTGCTTTTAATAAAAAAAATTATTGCTGCTGCTGCTCAGCTTACCCCACTCCTATTACTGCGCCTTATCTTTAAGTAGCCCAGCTAGACAAATAAATGTGCCCACTGTCCACTTTCCGCTGTACATCGTCCATGCTGTCTATCCCCCTGTCCATTAACAGCGCTCGCGACGCTCCAAAAGTTTCAAAGTTTTAGGCGCGCGCGCGATGCGTTTTGCATATATTTTCCTTCATATAGACTTATACGAAAAAAAAAAATGGGTGCGGCCCTAGGCGGCAGCAGAAGCAACGTCGTCGGCGCAATTGTTGATTTTTTATTTTTTTAATCTTATTAATTACATGGCTTAATGAGTGCGCGGGGGTCCGTCAAGGAGCGTGAGGGCGAATGATAGAGTGACGGGGAGGGGCGTTTATAGGGGTCGAGTCATGAGTGTGTGCGAGCTGTAAGAATGTTAATTGATGCTCAAGTAGTTGGGCGCGCGAGATGAAATTCCCTTCCCATAAGCTGATAATGCGCCAGCAGCTTTTGCCATATGCTGTGCTACTGCCGCAACTGCGGCTCATTGAATTGATTTATCGCTCGTCATTTGGGCTGCATTGGAAAGTAGTGGCAGCTGCCGTCGCCGTTGCCTTCGCCATAGCTCTGGCAATTATGATTGACAATGCGTCACAGATATGTGTGCATGTGTGCGTGCAATGTGTACGCAGTCGCAGCGCACTTTCCATTTTGTTCCGCTTTGTGATAAGAGCTTGTGTGTAGAGTTCAACAAACTGAAATGGAATGAAACGCGGACCTTTGACATTTTCATTAATCACGCTGATGAAACAGGGCGCGTTTCATGAAATCGACTTCACTTTAGTTAAATGCGGCGCCCCCATCCTCTGACCCTTTCCACTGTTGTTGTCGTTGTTGTTATTGTAAACGCATTGCTGCATTTTGTATACATTAAGAGGCAGGCGCACATTTTGCCTTGCCCAAAAATAAACAAATGCAGCAGCAGCAGCAGCAGCAGCAGCAGCAGGAGACGGGTGATAAACCAAACGCATATTTTTTCACACCACAAGCGTGTCGAAATCATTAACAACGCCAGCTAAAACAACAACAACAACAACAGTAATAGCAGCACAAGCAACGAGCGCATTCAAGTAGGCGCGGCTGCTTCTGCTTAGTGCCGCCCGCATAGCATTCCATTGGCATTCCAATGTGACCGCCATTCGTAAGCGTATTTATGCATGTATATTGTGCAATTAATTCACTTTTTCAATATATGCACTACTGTTGCTATTGCTGCTGTTGTTGCTGCTGTGGTTGTGCGTGCATAAATTTCCATTTTCAATTCATTTGTTGAAATTGCGGCGCAAAAAGCCAACACAAACACATCCGTTTTTCCAATTCACAATTATTCAAATGTTCGCGCGCGCCTTGCCATATTGCCAACACAAAGTGTTGACGCGTCGGCACGGTCTGGCAACTCTCCGAGTACAACTGTACGTGCGAGTGTGTGCAGCAGTAGCTGGCATGTGTGTGTGCGTGTCAGGGGAAGTGGAGTTTTGCATTTTATTTGTTGTATTTCTTTTATAAAATGCCAACGACAAATGCAGTCAAACGTTACTCGTTGTTGTTATTGTTATTCTTGTATGTGTGTGTGTGTGTGTGTTTTTATATTTTAATTAATAGCCGCATATTTGCGTTAAAACAAAGAGCGAGCATACATATGCAATAACTGCAACGGCTGCGGCGACAGTCACTGCCTTTGTTGCTGCTCACTCGTTCGCTCGCATGTTCTAGCTTCTTTCTCTCTCCCTCTCTCTTCACGTCTCACTCTCGCTGGTAAAACTTCGCTCTTTGTGCTTTAAGCAGGGTGTGGATTTCCAACTTACTCACTTACACACACATACACACATACATATATACGCATACTGCATAATTGCATGGCGTGTTGGTCGGCTGTTATTGTTGTTGTTGTGCTGCCCTGTTCTTGTTCTTGTTCACTTTTGTCGTGTCTTTTTAACATGCATCCAATTGTTGTTGCCAATGCAAAAACTCTACACACACACTACACTGCGCCAAAATTGAGCTCCGTCGCCGCTTAATTGGCATAATGATTTAATAAAAAATAAACATTTGCATTGTGTAGCGACAATGCGTCGCCGGCAAACGCAGTCGCTGCCCTCAGCTTATGCTGCAACAACAACAGTTATGCGCGCGTCGTTTGAGGCAGGGTTTGGATTGGGGCAGCGTCTTCCATATTTTTGAGGCAGCCTTTTTGTGGATCATTGGAATTAAATGTGTCGACGGCGACGACGACTCGGACTCCACCCTTTTCAGCCTGGGCAACGCCGATGCTTCTGCTGCTGCTGCTGGAAAGTATAATCTCTTTGCTCTCTCGCCCTCTGACGCACTCTCTTTCTCTCTGTCTCTTACTGTATTCGCCTTGTGTCTATGCGTGTGTGTCTGTGTGTGTGTGTGTGTGCAACCACACCCTGCCTGCCAGTTTGCCCTGTTTGTTGCCCTCCGCGCCAAAGCATGAAATATGCTACGCCCTGATATGAATGTTCGCTTTTGTTGTGGACAATTTCTAATTAGAAATAATATGCATACGCACACATGCACACACATGCGAGTGGTTACTCAAATTGTGCCGGACATAACTGTCACTTTTTTTGTAACGGTTAACGGCGCATGCATATTGTACGTGAACATACTGGATGGTGGCGGGAAAGGCAACAGCAACGGCAGCTTTGACACTGGAATATGCCAAATTCAAAAAGCGGCAATTGGAAATTTTCCAACTCCTCCTCTTCGCCGTGTGCGTTCGTCTGTGTGTAATTTTACAAACAGTGTGCGTGAGTGAGTGCGCGCACAGTGGGGGTAGTTGGGTGTTGGTTGATTTTTCGGTACAGCTTTTTCTAGTGGTTGTTTCGGCAGGCAGCCGGGCCCGGCAGCAGCATCTCTCGCTTTGGCATACATACATAAGTGTGTACGTGTGTATATACGTTTATGTATGTACATAGGTCTATGTATGTCATGAGCGCCATCTAGCGGCCGGAATGTTAAAAATAAGGCTGTGCCGGGTCGCGTGGGAGCAAGAGATTGAACTACATTACAAGCACATTAGTCATGCTCTACACACACAATCACACATACCCAAGTATGTATATGTATGTGTGTATGTTCGCAATGATGAATTGGAATGCGAGATATGGAAAAACTTATTTTGAATGAAAAACCTCAATCAGCAACAGGGATTACTCATCATTTCATTTAATTTCCGTATACCGATTAAAGCTTAATATACATACATAAATATAAATACATTTTGATTCTGTTTGTACTTTCCAGAATGTGGATCATAAGATGCGTTTCCGTTCCAAGAAGGGTCAATTGCCTTTCATCGAGCTGAATGGCGAGGAAATTGCTGATTCGGCCATCATTATCAAGGAGCTATCGGCTAAATATGACAAGAACTTGGATGCCGGACTAACTGCCGAACAGCGCAATGTTTCGTATGCCACAATTGCCATGTTGGAGAATCATTTGATTTGGATCATCTTCTACTGGCGCGCCAAGTATCCCGATAACGTACTCAAGGGCTACAAAGTGAATTTGCAGCATGCGCTCGGCCTACGTTTGCCCAACTCGATTTTGAACTTCTTCTTCAAGATCACATTCGGTCGTAAGGTAATTTTGCTCTAGAAAACAATAGAAAATTGGAAAGTTTGAAGCTCGAAATACCCAAATAGAAATTGTAGCTTGTAGAGATTGCAACCAAAACTAGTTAGAAAATTTTTAAATAGCTATTAGAAAATTAGAAAAATTCAATTTGATGAAATCTGGAAACTGATCAAAATTATTGATTGTGTATCGAACCAAATAGAAAACTGCAAATTCCTGAAATATTCAGTTGATTTCAACAAATACGTAGCTTGCATCAAAACAACATTTTCTGTTCAAATAACTTCAGCGTAATGTTTATTTAGGAACTCGAGTCGGGTTTTCCGGCTGGTTCTGACATTTTATTCGTCTCTCTCTCTCGCCTCTGTAAATAAACAGAAGTTGCCAGCAAATTTGGAGTCGCTCGACGAATCGTATTGTGTTGCACCTCCAACTAACACTAATACCAGCTAAACCCAAACCCAAAGGCAAACCCTCACACACGCACACATTGACGCTAGAGCCAGATTCAGATAAGCAGAAACAGGCAGCGGAACTAGAACCAAAGCAACGTTTTTACTCATATTGTTTATAATAGTAGATATAGAGATATATGTATATATCACCTCTTCATATATGTATATATATCATAAACAATAATGGTGCCTGCGCTCCTTTTTTGTTTATGCTCAGCGTAGCCTCTCATATAACCCAATTCTAAAAAAATATACAAATGCCACAATCGACAACCATAACAACAACAAAAAATACTTCACTTGTCACTAAGTTTTTCTTTTCGTTGGCCGAATATTTAATACCATTGCAGCGTCTATATATATTTTTGTAGTTGTTTGGTAATTGATATATTTGTTGTTAAATGAGCAATTTATAGAAAAGAGTTTTCTGGATTATTTATAGTGTGAACAGAATTCTCAGAATGCTGATAATGCAATTCCATAAAAACTATATAATATAGTTAAAATGCTTGCAAGCTTATCAGTTATTGGCTATTAGTGAGTAACAGCTGTATAACATATCGTATTTAAATGTGATGCAAGCTATATATGCTATAGTTGATATACACTGCATATATTTCATGTCGATATATTTATATATATATTTCCTATTGATATTTTTTGTTACACTATAAATCATTATATTTTATAATTGATTTATAATGCTGTAGAAATTTTTATATAATTCTTTCTTATATAGTTATTAGTAAGACTTTTTTAATACACCTTCAATTTCATATAATTAAATATCTAGATTTCTACAAGTTTTCTTTAATATAGTTGCCAAACTAGATATGTGTTCTTGTAGTGTCTATATGTATTATATATAGGATGTAAGAAAACTTATATACGTTGCCCATTCACTGCTATCCCAGCACATTCGCCTCTATGAATACCCAAAGGAAAGTTGATTTAACAGATATTCTATATATCTAGGTGCTTAAATGTAGATAGATAACGCATCCCAAGTGGTTAGGCAGACAATTAGAGCTTATACTCTCCATATACATAAATAGATGAATGAACTTCCAGAGTAAATGATCCTAGATCTATATACAAGATGCCTACGAGATATAGTTTACTATAAGATATGTATCTAACGTTCAACCGGAGAAGAGATGCTGCAATCGTACAATATCAACAAGAAATGAAAAAAAGAACTACAAATTAGCTATTATCGAAATTCCATTTCATTCATTATCACTAACTCTTGCATGGTGTTTTTTCTCTTTTTTTCGTTTCTTTTATTACATATATTTTTATGTTGATTTGTTCGATGGTTGGTTTACCCTCTACTACTACTACCACTACTACTACTACTACTACCACCACCACCACTACCGCTAACATCTCTATATGTGTGTGCGTTATATATACAAACATATATATGTGTATATAACATATATGTATATGTAACTACCCTTAACAAAAAAAAACTCCCGTTGTGCATCCAATATTGCATTTTGCATTTATATTTAAACACACAAAAAAAAAAAAAAAAACAAAAAAAAAACTATGAATCGAATACCGCATATTCAACACAACAAGTGGTTCCAGGGCACGAAAAAGCTAAAGGCGCATGGCATTGGTGTCCATAGCGCCGAGGAGATCGAAGAGTTTGGCAAAAATGATCTTAAAGTGCTCAGCGAGATGCTCGACTGCAAGCCGTTCTTCTTTGGCGATGAGCCAACCACATTGGATGTGGTTGCCTTTGCAGTGCTGTCGCAGTTGCACTATCTATCCAAGGATATTACGTATCCATTGCGCGACTATATGACCGAGAAGTGTCCCAACTTGATTGGCCATGTTTCGCGCATGAAGGACAAGTGCTTCCCCGACTGGGATGAGATTTGCACAAAGCTGGATCTCAATGCGCACATTCCCAAGCCAGAGTGAGTAGAACCTATAAATAGTTATTTATATCAGGGATAAATCTAATTTGGCTTTCGAACTCTCCCAACAGACCCGAGACCAAGGAGGGCAAGGAAGGCGGCGAGCAAGAGAAATCGAACGAGCAGGAAGGCACCGAGGGCGATAAGATCGAGAAGGAGTTGGAGAAGGACAAGGTAAACTCAAAATAAATTCTTAATTTATATGCAAAACTAATGGATTGATTATCTCCCTCTCTAGTCGAACGAGAAGGAATCGACCGAGGAGAACAAAGAAAAGGAGGAAACAAAGTAAACATCCACATATATATCTTTCCATATATATATATATAGGCGATGATCAAGCAAAAGGATGGAAGGCAAACAAACAAAACAAAACACACCCCCCCACATATATACATAGTACGATACTATTACTATATCTATATAGTATATATATATACATATATATATTTATACATATATATATGTATATGGTAAAAGCGCTGATTAGCGCACTGCGCTCATATATTAACATTCAAAAAAAGAAAATCATTTAAAGCATAGGACAACTGTAAAGCAAAACAGGCAAAAAAAAAACCAAGTTAAGAAAAGGATCCACTCTAAAAAAATAAATATAAAAAAAAAAACGTATATACAATAACGTAACTTAAAAGAAACTTTGGACATCTTTTTTTATATATATACAAAGTAAAAAGAAGAAAAAATCACAAAAAAAGAGAAAGAAAAGCAAAACGGTAAAAACATTTAGTATAAAATTATAAAAGTTTATACGTATAAGAAATGAAAACAAATTAGTTAAAGAAACTCGAATGAAAAGTAAATCAAAGTGAAGTGAAGGAAGGGGACAGAGAGTAGATGAGAGTAGAGGAGTTTGGGTGAGAAGGAGGTGTAGAACAGCATAAAATACGCATTAACCATTAGTTTTCATTGAAGCGATCTATATAATACACCCCATACAAACACACACACACACTCACTCGCCTCGACACTTGTACACTCACACACCTACACCTACACAAACACACACACACACACACAGTCCGACATAATGCATAATGCAGCAACAATTGCAACTCGATGGTATTGTTTACTCTTCCAAAATTTATTAAGCTTAAAGTATAAAATGAAAGGAATATATGGCGGCGGATATATACAGATATAATATGATATGATATGATATGATATGACATATGGATATGGATATATGATATATGTAGTATGGTGTTGCTTAGGATTGTGACCAGGTGACGACAGAAGAATGAGGGACCGCTGCTGATAATTAAGTTTATTTTTTATATAAATATGATTGCAAATAGTAATTTTTTATTCATGTGTGCAAATAATTAAATAAAAAAATATTGAAAATTTATTACTTATAATTATATAAATATATATATACATATATTATATACGCCCCCGCCCCTATCATAAAGATGTGTATAAAATAACAACAAAAAAAACAAAAAGCTAAAAAAAAAAATAACAAAAAGAAAACATAAAAAAATTATATGTTAAATTCTTTGTTTAAATATTGTTTCTTATGATTTTCCGGAGGGGCTGTACTTCAGCCCCGCCCTTAGTCTTTGCTTTACATGTTTTCTAAAACAAATTCGAACCAAAAAAACAAGAAAAGAAATACTCGAAAAAAACGAATAAACTAAATAAAATTTGTAGTCAAAAGTTATATATTTTTTCACCAATTTTCTCGATTTTTTATGTCGCGTCCCAAACTTTTTTTATATACATATGATTTTTACAATAAATGTTTAATTTTAATTACGCAAAAAAAATATATATACATAATTTCTATTGTAATTAACGCTGCAAAAACAAAACTCATAAAACATAGTAGCAAAATCTTGTGAAAAAAGCATATAAACAAAAAACAAAAACAAAAAAAAAGCGAGAAACTGAACACGAAACTCATGCAAACATTTTCAACGCTAGATGGCGCCAGTCGCAGTCTAAAGCATTTCATTTGTTTTTACTTTTTCGTTTGCCGTCCCATCCGAAATGCACTCAGTTCTACGTTCTACCCAACTACACCCGCCTACGCCGCGAGCTAAGATACAAAAGAAAAGAAATTTATGAAAATACAAAACAAATCAACAAATGAGTGAAAACAACTGAGCGGAATACGTGGCATAGATGAAATCAATAAATGATGAGCATGAAAGAAAAGAGGAGGAAAGAAACAAATTTTTAATAGGGTAAAAACGGAAAACTAAAAGAAAAACCAACCGAAATGAAAACGCAATGAGGCGTAAAACCGAAAAATAAAATGTAAAACATGAGAACAGCAAATTGTGGGATGAAAGAGATAGATAGATAGCGAGCGAGCAGCAGAAGAACTGCTCAGGATTGGAAGAGGAAGACGATGGAGAAGAGGGAAAGTGGAAGAACAGGGCATCTCCGATAAAACGATACGATTTGTAGACTATGCAAGTATTTTTATGTATTAAAGGTTATGTTGTAAGTTTTTATCACAATATTTGTATTGTAGCTGCTCAGTGTTTTATATGATTATATAAAATGAATATATAAAAAAAAAACCAGAAACCCGAAAACAAAAACAAATTCAACCAACCGGACAGACAACAAAAACAACAACAAAAATTATTGTATTACATACATCTTATATATAATAAATATGCTTCTTAATAAAAACAAAAAAAAAAAAAACACAAGAAATAAATAAAATTAATTTATGACGGTGGATTTCCAGAAGACATGCAGAACTAAGCCGGGGTAGCTTACAAAAAAAATTCATATAATAAAAAAAAGAAGTACATGGAAAAACAAGCTAGAATCTTGCCGCTGGGAGAAACTGACTGCGCGATGCGCGCTCAACAGAGTAAAATGGGTTTGAGTTGTAGTGAAGAAAACTCTGGAAGTTTTTCAGTGCATAGTTCTAGAAAATAATAGAGACTGTATTCTAGGCCTTATCTTCTAGTAAGATACGAAACGATACTTTAGTTTTATAGAAATAGATCTTGATGCCACCTAATAACTCATAACTCTAACTAGAGAAGGGTATGATATCTGGTAATGATTATTGATTATTGACTCGCAACACCCCACCTTGGGTATATACAAAAGGATATATAGACTTGGCACACACATGATCGTAAGGCCACATAAGCCCCTTTCGGTCATTTGGGCGAGCATTAAAAAAGAACTGAAGAAATTAATTATGATACTCGAGTTATCTTTGACGTATACCTCCTGATAACCTGCGAAAAGTTGCTGCAGGTTTTCTAATGCTTAGAATAATTAAATTATCTCTGCTTTCGATAGCAGGCCACGCCGGGGGCGACAGCTCAAGTTCAGGTGCCAAAACAGACTTTTTATTGAGGTGTACTATAAATGTCGACATAGGCCAGAGACATGCTTGGTAGTATAGTTGTCTATGTAAGACGGCATATGGTTTATGGTGTTTGTTGTTATTGGTTTTGGGTCTGCAAAAGCCCCCCACAAGAATTGGGATCGATTCTAGATATGAAAATCATAAAATATATATTTTTTTTACGATTGACCAAATTGGCGTCCAGATTAGTCACAACTTAGATTCGTCACTCGATTGGCCTATAAAGTAGATCAACGAAAATATAGCATTTACGTGGGGCTTATCGAATAATGAATACTCTATTCTATGTAATAAATGTTTCTGTACTTGGCTTTTATATGAAAACTGGTTATGGAAATATATATATATATTGTTAATCATATAACTGTAGGGTGTAAGGATGTTAGTGAGTATATTATTAAAGCAACAAAATTTCTACTGTAATTACCGTTTGGTTGATTAGTTCTTAGGAAAGCAGTAAGCGATAGGAATGTAAGGTTTATCTGTTCTTTAAGGCGTCCATTTGTCTCTCACATACATTTTCGGAAAACCATTATACCTTAAACTTCCATTTTTAATGGGCTCAGAGTACACAAATGTTAAAAAAAATAGATTTTAGCTATTTATAACTCCATAAGCCAATTTTCCAGTTATATATACTCTATATTTGACAAGTTCGTCAAGTCTGTATATATATATGTATATAATGCCTATAGCAAAGAAACGTAAACAGTGCTAAACAGACTTTGCTTTGTCAAAATGTCTTGAGCAGGAAACCAGACTCTATTTTTATAGATTAGATTCCCATTTGCTAGACTCGTTTGCTCATGCAAGTGGCAAAAGTTTTCTACTGCACCGCTGGCTTAACATTTATAATACAGTATATCTATATATTTATTCATTTCTATAACTAGACATTCGCCTGCAACAGCTTGTGACCCAGAAATGCCAATCAAATTGACATTCAATTCGCATCTGACCCCATCATAAGCACGGGCTGGCGATAATCGATATTTGACCTAGGCCAATATAAAAATGCCTATCGCCGCGAATTCCAAAGACTCCCACAACCACCAACACCGCCCCCCCCCCCTCGCCCGGTTCCTGCTCGTACTCCAACCATGGATAATCGACGACTAATTTGATGGCTGCCTAAATGTTTGCGGGGCGGAGTCTAGGAATCTAGTTGGGGGTATTAGTTGCCTTAGTCTAATCAATGCAAACACGTTGCAAGAATTACCATTGGCTGCCACACCCACACTCCCCCTCGATAGACAAACCCCCTACCCCCACTGCGGTTGTCAACGCGCTTTGAATTGTGACATTTGGCAATTTATTGAAGACGATTTCCAATCAGAGCAAATCATGCGAACCGAATCTAATATGGCAAGCGGAATTTTTATGGCTGCGTGTTGAGCGCATAAAAAAAATAAAAGGTAAGTGTGATATCGGCCAGATCCATCAGAACTCCCCCCAGGCTAGAGCTCCACATCCCTTTCAGCTCTGACTTAAATATGAGAAAATTGAAGGAAAACCTAACGTAACCAACTCTGACGAACGCTTTGTCCTTTGTGGTGAGCAGCATAGCGTGCACATTGCATGTCCCAAGCCAACTAATACACTGAGAACAATTTTTAGAGCATTTCTAAAGTGCTACAGAAGTGTC